ATACAACCTAATGTCATCTAATCAAAACTAATCTAAAATTCATCACAAAATTATGGAATAAATCCAGGGGGGAGCTAAAGTCCTAATCTAACTATCCTAAAAAGGATGGCCTAAAAATACTAAGGGAACTAGCTAAACAAAATTCTACAAATTCATGTATCAACATAAAAGAAATAAAAAGCTATTAAAATGGAAAATATACAAAAATATTAAAAATGCATGAAATACAAATATTTTTATTTGATAATTTTCTAGACATTAACATGAAATGGGAGAAAAAATCCCCACTTAAAAATCATTATTTTTCCATTTATTATGATTTTTCAAAGTTTGAAAGAAAATGGAGAAAATAAAATGAAAATATGAAAGGATGTGGTGCAGATAGCAAGCATGGACAGTTCATTTCCTGAATGGGCTAAAAATGGGGGTGTGGGTAGTCATGCGTGCTGGGCCCAATTTAATCAGAAAATGAATTAATAAAATGAATGAAAAATGGAAAAGAAACGGTGTAAACAGCAACCAAATATAGTGTATTTCAACCATGGGCCAGGATTGGGGGTGTGGATAGTGGACAAAACACTCAGGCCCAAGAACTTCTTTTAATGAAACGGGGCGTTTCATTCTTTCTCAGGGTTTCCCTCTCAAATTGGAATTAAATCGTGGCCACTAGATCAGGGAATAGTCAATGGTCAGCTCACAATCCAACGGCCATGCTCTTGTCTTCAACCTCCAGCTAGGGTTACAAAAATGAAGCCATGGAAATGCAGAGCACTAAACTCCATCTTCCTCAAACACGAACTCCATCAATTCTTCATGGAAAATAGAAATTTAAAACCCTATCTTGCCCAGAATTTCATCCTGAATCCAACCATGATCTTAAACTCAACTGAATCATCCTAAATCACTGAACCCGATCCAAGATCAAAGATGTGCTCAATCATCAACTATCATAGTTCTTGAAATTTCTTGCATCAGAATATTCACCAACTCACACTGAATGAAATTAGCTATCTAACATGAATTATATCTCACTATACCACGAGTTCTTGATCATCAAATCAATGTGCACACCTTCAAAATCATCAATGGAGTGTGTTTGTATAGAAAAGAGGAATGGAATTGAAGAAGAATGTAGAATTGAAACTTGACTTGCAATGGAAGCAACAAGATAGCACTCTCTCTCTTTTCTCACCAACCTTGCATATGAGCAAGCCCTAACCATTATATAGAACTTGTTAGAACTGTCCAGAACCTTCTGGAACAATCCAATGAGTATTTGAACTTCTCATCTCATGATATTTTGATTTCACTTCTCACCATATGCTATCTCATGCCAAGCCTCTTGTAACCACCAATTCTGACTTGAAATTCTCCCCACATGAGATGTATGGTGTGTTGAAATGCATAACTAACTTGTTTATTGAGTTTCTTTGAGTTTTGCTTTGGTGCCTTAAGATGCAAGTAAGCCATTTCCAAAGCAGCCCTATGATCTAGGCCTCAAATCAAAATTGTGGCTGAACCATTGTTCTTAGAATGTCCTTTGGAGTCAAAATGACCTATTATATGCCATGGTTTGGATGTGTAACTTGGGATTTCCAATTTCCAATTCAACTTATTTAACTTATGTCTCCATTTTAGGTCATTTTTATCACTTTTTGCTACAAGCCTTTTCAACATCTCCTGACCTCCCTACTAGCCTTAAAACATCATTCTAAGCAAGTTTTATGTTGAATATTTTTCCATTTGAAGCTTGGAAATAGGAGATATGGCCTTATGCTTGAAATGACCTATAACCTCCAAATGACCAAAATGCCCTTGACTTGTCAAAGCCATAACTTGAGTTCTACAAATCCTATCAAGGACTTCTAGTACTCTCTAGAAAGCTAAGAAGATGAAGAAAACCATTCATGTTTACCAAGAATTCATAGGAATCATCCTACTAGGGCAAAAGTTGGATGCAAGTTGGGTGACTTTCAAGGACCTAGATTCACATACCTCAGATGACCTGTAATTTGTCAAAGTTATAACTTGAGCTCTACAAATCCTATCAAGGACTTCTAGCACTCAAATTAAATATAAGAACAAGCTCTACAACATTCATGTTGTGGGGAAGATGAGATGACAATCACATCTTGAGCTAAACTGCCTTGAAGATAGGGATCAAACTAGGGGATTTTACACTGTCAAGCCTTAGAAACCCTAGCTTGAAACTTCTCAAACTCCTCAATCATGATGATTTGGTCTAGAAATCATCCTTATAGCATCTTAATGCATCATTCCATGATCACATGGTTCTTGGATTAGGTCTCAAACCTCTCCAAATCATCAGTTGACCTAGGGTTGACCCAGTCAAACCCTAATTCCACCACTCATGGCTGAGTCTTCTGAATTCTTGTACAATGACCTCTCTAGACTTCATGATGGCTTTCAAGACATCTCATAAGCTCTCTCAAATATTCAAGTCCATCCTCATAGTCTCAGAATCATCTGAGGGGCTCCCACAACTCTCAAGTTATGAGACACACAACCTTGGTTTCAACCAATCTCTGTGGGGATCTCTTGAGTTCTCTAACAAAGATATCAACCTTTGAACACTTGAATAACCTTCTTGGCTAGCTTCAAAGTCTCATATAACTCTTGCTGGGTGATCATACCTCTTGATCTACTGCACCCATATCAATGAGAAGCAGATGATGAATGAGATGAACCACAAACTTGGTAAATAAGTGTTGGTCAAATTTTGGGGTGCAACAGGCATCACTAACAGTGCTTTTAAATATAACTATGAACCAAGAAATAACCATTTCATGAAAAACGAATATACAATACCTAGGTGATGTAGAAATCTCTATAATTTGGTTATGTTGTGGGAAAAGTTTTGTCAGATTCTTCGCAAGATTTGGAAGTCCTAAAACTTTTTGAGGTCTGCCACGAAGTGGTTTGCAAATTGTTGGAAACCTATAACACATAAAAGATTTCATTAGATATGATATGCAAGGACAATTGTAGCTACCGATAACTCGGTGAATCACAAAAAGGTATCAATAAGTCTGTAATAGTTTAGAATTCTTTTATACATGGTAGTAAGAAACATAAATGTTACCTAGGCTGGTTTTTCATGTCTTATGTCATGGAAATAGTAGAATTATCCCTTAAACCATGTATGTTTGATGGGGAAATGGATGGTAAATTCATGTTAAAATTTGGAAAGATGACGGTTTTTCGAGGCCTTCCCCGAGCAGGTTTTGCGCTGACTCCAACCCTGTCATAACAGTTTTGTGTAGGTTAAGCATGAGTCTAAAGAAAGTATCATCAATAAGAATAATTTGTACATAGAAAGCAAACCAACATTTGGTTACTCGAGTTACACTCTTTCTGTGTATTTTGTGAAGAACCAACATTCTGGTCTTGGCTTTTGGAAGGCGTAGAAGCGGTGGTTTGTACCGTTTTATAAGTCTGAATGGAAAAATCAGAGAACAAAGTATGTAGCTTTATAAATTATACAAAAAGAAATTTGACAATTTTAAAGAACATTGTCACAAACCATGAATACCAATGCACTAAAGATTTCAAAAAAAAAACAAAGTAGGTATGATAAGAGACTTACACTCGTTTAAGAGAAGAACTTGCTTCATGTTGTACAGGTTTGTGTTGTTGCGGTAAAATGTGTGTTAGTAATTCTGTTGCAGCAGGTTGTGTATTTTCATCTGGTTCAAGGTTAATTGTGTCGGAAAACTTAGAAAATAGATTTTTCCCCAAGCTATGAATGTTGTTGTAGACATGGCTTGCTGTTCTAAATCCATGCCTGGTTTGGCTGGGTTCTGAACATTGAAATCGGGGACTAAGTAACATTCCTTCTTCAACAATTTGTTCAACCGTTTTTTGGTTTTGATGTGACGGGGTTAGCTCGGACAATGGATTTCTTGTCATCGTATTATTTGGTGTAGGATGTTTGGTATTGAGTGTAAAGTTTTGTACAGTACTGTTTCTTTGGCGTTTTGAACGTGATTGTTTTATAATTATATATCTATGGGATCTTGCTTTTTTGGCTGAAACAGAATTGTTCGTGTTGTCCATACTTGAAATCACAGTGTATTTGAAGAGTGTTATAACCTGTAAATATAAAACTCAATAATTAAGTAACTTAAAATATCACAGACAACATCAATGTATTAAACTTGTTAGGATGTATAGTAGATAAATGAAGTAACACATGACAAAGGTAGGTGACAACTTGAACAATTTGTATGGGACAAAATAATGTTATGCATCATTATGCAGTCTGGCTAGATTATTCAGAATGGCTTATAATGCTACATACTTGCAGAATGGATAGATTATGCATAATGGCTAGATTAGAGCATGACAATGTCAGCTGCATTAATGACAAACTAATATCAATGACACCATCAATACACTTAAATAAACCTCAACATATTCAAATTTATTGTTGAAAGTAGGTAATGTACATTAATAAACCTTACAATGAAGTAGGGTGCTATAAATATAAGGTATTTATGTGTATGAAAACTACTTTAAGGCATCAGCCACTACATACTCATTAACAGATCCTTGTGATACCTAGCTGGAATGAAGTTGTTAAAGTTGAGTATCATGAACAACAGGTAAATTATCCTACTTCATATATGAACAATTATGCTATATAAAACACAGTTGGTTGGTATGAATCTTATCCATGTCATAAATCACAGCCTAGTTCAGTTTTTGTTTGACTGATGAGTGTATGGCCAGCTGAGGTTTTGGTTCTGTCAAGCTTTATAGAAACAATACCTGTTCTGGTTTTTTAACCATTTTGCCTTTAAAGGAGAATGTGCATAAAAAGGAGAATGTCCATCACTACTGGACTTGTGTGTCCAGAAAATAAGTGAGGTATTGTTTAATGATAAGTTTTCATTGTCCATCCAGACTTTATATTTTGGTCTAAGTCACACTGCAATATTTATTCGACACGGGATTTGGATAGACATAACACATTTTCTATGCTGCCATGTGATATAAGTCAGCAAAATTTAAATAATCTGGTCTACTCTCAGCGTCTTACTGGTGGTTCTCTTGAAGCTTTTAGAGATTGTGCTCTCCAAGTATATCATATTAGATCAATTATGAACCTGACTCATCATGTCTCCTTGATCTAAGTGGTTAGTTTTATCTCTTAATTGCCACTGTCAGGATATATACTTGGGAGAATATGCCGGTGTTGATGATTCTTGGATGGATGTCATCTCATCTCAGGGTTCATCTTTACTCTCGGTAGATCTTTCTGGATCTGATATCACTAATTTTGGGTTGACTTACCTAAAAGATTGTCAAAGTCTCATTTCCTTAAATCTAAATTATTGTGACCAAATTTCAGATCATGGACTGGATTATATCAGTGGTATTATTTCTTTTCCTGTATTCTTTCTTATATCTGCACTTGGGTGTTGGTCCCTTGGCATCTTTGCTTTGTCTTTTATTCATCTAAGAGTAGAAGAATAAACATTTCTTATCAGAGTTCCTTGGCTAAACCATACCCTCTTTTTCAGAAGACTTATTTATTAGTGACACACCTATTTCTAATATATTTTTCAGTTATATTGAAAATAGGCATATGAACATCTTATGCGGATAATCTTCATGAAATACGGCCTTTAAATTTGTTCCAATTTGACTATAATTTCTCATTTTTAATATATCATGTTGAAAGAATGAAATTCTGCATTGGTGAAGCTGACCTGGGAAAGATATTTTCAGTATACCTACCTATTTACTAATCCAATTGAATATAATGATATCTACCGAGGATGTCGGAAATGGTGTTTTTGCATTCAATGATTAATATGTCATTAATTTCGTTGACCTCTCTGCCAAGCCTTTTTTGTTGCATAATTGTTTTTTCAAAAAAATCTTCATCTGGCTCGTGTGGTATTACTTATGTCTAAAAGCATTGTCCATAGTTTGCTTTTACTTATGGTTTACAACATCTGTAATGGCATATTCTAGGTCTGTCGAACTTGACATGTTTTAGTTTTAGAAGAAATGATTCAATATCTTCTAAAGGAATGAGTGCCTTCTCTGGTATCTGTTCTGGTTTTTTAACCTTTTTGCTATCAAGCTTTATGCATTTATATCATAAACACTTATCATATAAGTGTTAGGGACCAAATTGATACTAATTTGTATATTTTTTATCGGTCCCTTTTTAACTTTTTCTTACTAAAGTCACACATTTTTATCACAATTTAGTACGCATTCAATTTTAGTCGTATTATTTTATTTAGAATAAATGTTTCACTTTTTCTCTAGTTTTGTAGAATTTTTGTCAAGGAATGTTCGATTGCATGAGAAGTTTCTGAAGCAACACTTAAAGATACAAGTTTGGGAAAGGAAGTGTCGGGGATGGAAAGCAAAGCAAGGAATCAGCAGGCTAAGCAGTTCGCGCCGCGACCACCCTGCGCGCCGCGAACTGAGTGAATTCAGCCACTTGCAAATTTTATGACACTTGTCATACCTTGGAAGAAAAATATACTTTTTGTAGGGTGGCGCCCCAAAGCTATTAATGACACTTTTTCCCTTACATGTGGGACAAAATGATTACACTCTTTAACTTAGTATCTCTTAGGTTTGGCATAATATCTTAGAGAGATTAGGGAGATTGTTTTTCTTGTTCTTAGAGTTTTGCACGCAAGAAGTTGTTCTGGGAGAATTTTCCATGGAATCAATGAAGATGATGAGTAGCTAAATTCCATCTTGGCAAGGTTGAGGTAGTAGTTATCTCTTGTTATTTATGTAATATTTGTATCCTTGCATGTAACAAACTTCATCTTTGATAAGGAATAATATTTTTGCTCTTTACACTACAAAATTAGGATTGAATTATTGTTGAGAAAGATAGTTTGATTCTTGAACTAAAATATTTTTCCAAGTAGAGAATAAATTGTAGAGATAGATTTATTCACTACTTTTTCTATTGTGTTAAGCATTCAAGATTATTATATAAATAGTTAGATGGAGAGATCGTCTAAGGATTTATATAGTAACTATCACAATTTTATTTAGACATAAATATTATTGAGAGGACACTTGAATATTATCATTGGAGTTTGAATGCATGCATTTGATATTAAGAACACATAGATAACAAGGATAATGAAACTCAATCTTGACAAGGCTTCTAAACTTTATTCTAAAACCAATTTTATTGTCCTATTTTTATTATAAGTAGAAAGAACAATTTATTCATCAACAAACAATTTGAATATCTTTGAACTTACAACAATCGGAATTATAGAACGGCGGTAGTAACACCAATCTCTGTGGATACGATATAAAAATATTTGCCGGAAATATACTTTTCAACAAATTGGCGCCGTTGCCGGGGATTGGTGTCGATATTACATGCATTGCAATAATTCATTGTTCTAAGTTCTTATTTTTATTTCTATTTTTATCACTCTTGTGTTTCACTTGGTTTGCTAGTTTTGTAGATTCTAGTGCATGCGAGAAAAAGCCACCGAGGAGCAATTTCAATTCGACCCCGAAATTGAAAGAACAATCCGAAGGCTTAATAGCAAAACACGAAGGAGAAAGAAACTAGCCGAAGAGAGGAACCGAAGAGAAAAAGCAACAAATTCTGCACTTACTCAAATTGAAGAGGAAGTTGTAGAGACCGTCGAAAGAAGTATGGGTGACGATGTTCGTACCGAAATGTCCGCTAATAGTTCAAGGCGGACAGCTCAATTTGCTCGAGGCGGAAGGAATACAGAGATGAAGATCGGAATCCTACAACTCCTTTATGCAAATCCATTCACCGGAATGGATCACGAAGATCCGTACAACCACCTCATCAAATTTTATGAGATTGCGGGTTCAACGGGAGTAGATGAAGCTAGTGAAGAAAATTTGTTCAAGCGAATGTTTCCACATTCGTTGGTGGGAAAAGCAAAAGAGTGGTATCTTGATCAACCAACAAGAGTGATGACAGATTGGAATTTGTTAGAAGAAAGATTTCTAGAGAGGTATTACCCTCAATCCCGATTCATGGAAGCCAAAACGGACATTTCGGTATTCACACAAGGAAGCAATGAGTCTCTAAATGAGGCTTGGGAAAGATTCAAATCCATGTTGAGGAAATGCAAAGGTCACGGTTTTGATGATCTCACACAAATTCACATTTTTCTCAACGGACTCCAAACATCACAAAAGACACTCTTGGATGCTACCGCGGGTGGTTCTCTCATGTCAAAGAACGCGGAGGAAGCGAAAAAAATTATTGATCAAATGGCACTCAATGATCGACAAGGTCAACACGACCGTAGTCCTTCACAAAGGAAAGCGGGAGTTCTTGAATTGAATACAAATGATGCCATACTCGCTCAAAACAAGCTACTTTCTCAACAAGTGGAGTTGCTCACTCAACAAATGTCCAAACTTCCACAACAATTGAAAGAGATTCATGGAACACAAGTTAGACATCGAGTGGCAAGTTGTGAACTTTGTCAAGGAGACCATCCAACCGGATTTTGTCCACCACCTCAAGAAGAAGTAAGCTATGTTAACAATCAAGGTCAAGGTTACCAAAGATACCCTCCACAACACAACAACACTTTTCAAAGGAACAACCAAGGCTACCAACAATCAAGATTCAACAATCAAAATTTTCAGCAACAAAATCCATATCAAAATCCAAACACACAAAGTCAACCATCACAAGGTGGAAGTTCAAAGTTAGAAGACACACTTGCACAATTCATGCAAGCCTCCATGGCAAGTCAAAAAAGTAACGAGGCAGCAATCAAAAACTTGGAAACTCAAGTGGGTCAACTTGCAAAACAATTGGCGGAACAACAAGCAAGTCCATCCTTCTCCGCCAACACCCAAACCAATCCACGGGAGAATTGCAAGGCAATTACTACAAGAAGTGGCAAAAAGGTGACAAGCATAGGAAATGAAGAAATTATAGTGGAAAATGATACAATGGTTACAGCTGAAAATGAAAACGAGGGATTATTGGAAGCCAAAAGTGATGAGGAGAAAAATTCATTTCAGGTCGCGTTGCATCCTAGCTTCGCGCCGCGAACTGGACAAAACCAGAATCATGAAAGTAGCTTGCAGAAAGAGTCAAAGTCGAAGACCAAAAGAGGTGATAAAGGCATGAGCCATATTCCAGCCCAACACTTACCTTATCCGCACGCACCATCAAGGAAGGATAATGCAAGGCATTATGCACGATTCATGGATATCCTCAAGTAGCTTCAAATAAGTATCCCATTTACCGAAGCACTAGAGCAAATGCCAAAATACGCAAAGTTCCTGAAAAATATTCTGACAAAAAAGAAGAGGTATACTGAAGATGAGACCGTTCTACTTGATGCAAGGTGTAGCGCAATAATTCAAAGAAATATCCCAAGAAATGAGTCTGATCCGGGCCGAGTAGTCTTACCGGTAAACATTGGAGATACATACATTGGTAATGGCTTAGTTGATCTTGGATCCAACATCAATTTAATCCCCTTATCTATCATCAAAAGGTTGGGGAATATTGAGATGAAGTCTACAAGGATGACTCTTCAGCTAGCCGACAAATCAACCACATCACCATATGGATTTGCTCAAGATATGCTAGTCAAGGTGGACAAGTTCTTCTTTCCGGTGGATTTTGTGGTAGTGGACATGGATGAAGACCGTGATGTACCCTTAATCCTCGGAAGACCATTCATGAAGACAGCCCGGATGATGCTCGACATTGATGATGGACTCATGAAAGTGAGAGTGCAAGATGAGGAAGTGACTTTCAACCTTTTCGAAGCCATGAAACACCCTAAGGACAAACATGATTCTTTCCGAATCGATGTCGCCGAAGAGGAAATTCTTGAGGTTGCAAATCAAGTTCATCTTTCCAGCTCTTTAGAAAGATCTCTTATAAGCGCTTACAATGTCTCAACCGAAGAAGAGGAAAAAGAGATCGAGGAACTTTTGAGTGATCTAGAGTTGTGTGGAGAGACTGCTTCATATGAAGGCAAAGTTGAAAAGTTAGATGAGAAGACGGAGGTAGAAGAAACAAAGCTACAGTTGAAAATGTTACCTCCTCATCTAAAGTATGTTTTCCTTGGTGATAATTTCACAAAACCGGTCATAATTAGCAGCACCCTATCTATTCAAGAGGAACAGAAATTAACACAAGTGCTGAAAAAGAATGAAGGGGCAATTGGTTGGGTATTATCAGATTTAAAGGGTATTAGTCCAGCCTACTGCATGCACAAAATCATGATGGAAGACAACTACAAACCTGTTGCTCAACCTCAAAGACGCCTAAATCCATCCATGAAGGAAGTAGTGAGAAAAGAAGTTGTTAAACTATTGGAGGCGGGAATGATCTACCGTATATCCGATAGTGAATGGGTGAGTCCGGTGCAAGTAGTTCCAAAGAAAGGCGGCATGACGGTTATTCGAAATGAGAAAAATGAGCTAATCCCTACTAGAACGGTAACCGGATGGCGGATGTGCATTGACTATAGAAGATTGAATCAAGCCACAAGGAAGGACCATTTCCCGCTACCTTTTATGGACCAAATGCTAGAGAGATTAGCCGGTAAAAATTTCTATTAATTTCTAGATGGTTATTCAGGTTACAATCAGATTTCAGTCAACCCGGAAGATCATGAAAAAAACAGCCTTCACGTGTCCTTTCGGAATTTTTGCTTACCGGAGAATGCCATTTGGTTTGTGTAATGCACCGGCAACATTTCAAAGGTGTATGCAAGCCATATTTTCAGATTTGATTGAAGAGTGTATTGAAGTGTTCATGGATGATTTTTCCGTCTACCGTGCATCCTTTGATTCATGCTTGAAGAATCTTGATGTGGTTTTAGAGAGGTGCATGAAAACAAACTTGGTGCTGAATTGGGAGAAGTGTAATTTTATGGTGACTGAAGGAGTTGTTCTTGGGCACAAAATCTCCTCCAAAGGGATGGAAGTGGATCGAGCAAAAGTAGAAGTCATTGAAAAATTACCGCCACCGGTAAATATCAAAGGGATAAGAAGCTTTCTAGGATATGCTGGATTTTACCGGAGGTTCATCAAAGACTTTTCAAAAATTGCAAAGCCCTTGAGTAACTTACTCAACAAAGGTACACAATTCCTTTTCGATGAATCTTGT